AGGACGTCGCGGGTTCTTGACGCATCTGCATTTACCTGTTTGACCTCGGCCTGTAGGTGGCGTAGCTGCAGGCACTGTTCCAGCCGTGTGTGCGTGTGTTGCGCGTTGAGCTCCACCTCTTGCTGCTTCTCATGGAGGAACTCCAACAGCTCCTGAACCTGTGCGGCCAAGTCCATGTCCTTCTCCCCTGTCAGCTCGATCCCTGACATTCACGCACACACACAAACACACACACATGCACACACAGCTGTGATTGTTGGAATGTATGATGTTGTCATATTAGCTCTAATCCCCCTGCAGCTCAGATACAACTTATTCCTCAGTGGAAATACACATAACACACTAAAAATACAATCTGTCATTTTTAGGCTGCATTCACACTGCAGGCCTTAATGCTCAATTCTGATTTATTGCCCAGATCCATATGACTGTTCATAATATTTTACAAATGTGGCCCATATGCCTGGCCCAAAAGTGACCCGCACATCAAATTCATCATGCTGTTATACAGATGTAAACAAGGAAGCCACAGAGGTTAGCTCATACCTGGTAACCCTCCCAATTTTTGTCTTTTTCATTGCATTCATTACAGTTTCTGGCACTATACAGCACGCAAAAACCCTACAACTCACTCTCCCTACTGTTTCCACCCGGACAAGTAGCATGCACGCGATTCAGAATTGTGACGACAGTCACTGAAGAGGGACATCAGAGTCACATGAATTCGGATCTGACTGTCTAATCTGAGGTCGCATTTCAAAAAATCCAACCTGTACCTGATTTGGACCTGATGAATCCGAACTGGAAAAGATCAGCTTCCATGTGACTTGGGCTGTTCAAAAATCTGATCTGAGTCACAGTATGAGCAGAAAAATTCTGATTTGGGTCACTTAGACCTGCAGTCTGAATGCAGCCTTACATTACTTACTATTTATGTGTGTATTTGACATGGTTATTTTTATTTATTTTTTGCTTTGGACAGAGCCCAATTCCTCAATTCCTAACTATACTTGCATGTGAATCAAATCATGAACCCTAACTAAACACCCCTGCTTCTTTAATATACGATTCTAATACAATGCAGAAGAATACATTAAATGACATCCTAAAAAGGCATCTCTACATGAAGGTTTCTGACAAGATAGTGCAGAGAAGTGTCATTACTGTCACCAAGGCGTCTTTTTAGAAACTCACTTTTAAAAAGTTATACACTGAAAGAATGCCTCGTGTCTTTCTACTTTCACTCAATATTGATTTGATATTTTTAGGTTAGAATAGATGCATGCTTCCTTTTGAAGCTGATTACTTTATCAATATTACATTGTATTACTGTTTGAGCTGCAAATTAGTTGGAGCATTGAATAAAAGAGAGGTGTGTGTCTTTATTCTCAGCCTGTAGCATAAGTTCACTATAAATGCCCTACTCCACCAGTGACTGGCCCTGCTAGTAAGAAAGAGGTTTTGTTTGTTTGTGTGTGTGTGTTTGTGTGTGTGGCGAGAGATTTATAGCTCCAGGGGGCAGGGTGACTGAGGCAGTGACCTCCACATATACACAAACATACACACAGTAAGCGGATTGTGCTGTGACGATTTTTTAACCTAATTCTCTCCCTATTCCGCACAGCAAGCTCTCTTTGGGATCACAGTTTATTGTACTGCCGAAACATCGGGGATCCCTCTTTCCTTTTTGTACAGTGGGCAGCTGTAAATCCAGATGTGAGCCTGCTCAGCCACATTCGCAGGGTGACTGAGCAAACATGATCACATCAGAAGTGCAGTATGAATGCTAATGCATCCCTGAAAGCAAATAGGAATGCCTAGTTAATGCTGTAGTGTATATACAGCACAACAAATGTCACAAACGCTGTTTATTTAAGGAAAGACGCAAAAAGATCATTTCTCCATTCACTGGTCAATTTAGAGATGTTGGGCTATTTTGCTTCCATGTCTTTCAGACTACTGGAAAGAAAACACCCAAAAAACACATTTAGGTGTTTATTTTACTACATTTTGTCTATATGCGTCTGTATTTCTCTGCTAAAATCAACTAAAGTCAGGATTAGATAATGCCTCTTTTGCATATTTAAATACAATTTCAGAAAACCTTTAATACAAATACTAATTGACTTAATGCAAATAATCAAATGTGGATGTTTCATTGTCATTTATATTAGTTACAGTCTTTTATCCAGTCACCAGTAGTGTCTTGCAAAATGTAATGAATTTCACAATACGTATCTTTAAAGGCCAAAATTAGATTTTTCTCATACTCTGAGCCAGAAATCTCCACTTCAATAGCACCTACATATGGTTTTACAGAGGGGTTTGTTCATATATCATTCAGCCTTGTCTATATAACATTTTGTTCCTAAAGACATGGTAAAAGTTGATGGCTGTTGCCAGTACTTTCTCAAGTGTTAAAGATTTCTGGAAATATTAGATAATGCCTCATTTGCATATTTAAGCATAACATTTCAGAAAACTTGTAATACAAAAAAGTCTTGTCTTTCATGGTGGTATCTATTAGCTAACATTTTACCTTATTCAAGTGCCTGGTCAGTTTTGAAGTTTTCTGTTCAGTAAAAGCTCACAAGTGATTACTTGGGAAGTATGTGAACAAAACACAAGGGAGAATGATTTCTGGATACTCCCAACAGGTCTTCTCTGTCCTTTGCTTTCTTCTGTATTCCTTTGAAACTCCTGTCTTCCTCTCTACCTCTTCACTCCTTCTCCACCCATTTTCTTTCTCACAGAGCAAAGTAGTTTATGTGTGTTCACCTGAAGCCTGGACCTCCATGATGTACTGGTGCAGGTCTTGACCCTGCTGCATCACTTCATAAGTCATGTTGTTCATGGCTGCCTTCCTCTCTGCGTGTCGTTTCAGCCGCTGCTCTGCCAGGCCGATGTCTTCTGCGCTGCCAGAGGAGGCACCGCCTCCCCCACTGCTGCTGCTACTGCTACCGCCTGAGCGGCCGGCATCGCTCAGCTGACGAGACAAATCCTCGTTCCAGGCGTCCAACTCCGCTGTGACCTGCAGGAACAGAAGATATGTGGGATGAGAAGACAGTTAACGTAACATGCCAGAAGTCAGTGGGTGCCGCTGAGCCATTGTTGTTTTTGTGGTGTGTGTTTCACTATTACCTCTAATTAGGTCTCATCAGTGGCTGTTGGGCCAAGTGAGCATGTGGGATCAGCAGTTAAAGGAGTTTTATTTTTCACCTCTGACCTTTCTTTTCTTTGTCCATAAGCAAAAGACCACAGGCTGAAAATTGGGGGGAAATCTAGACAGAACTCCAATTCACTTCTACAAGACTGTTTAAACAGTCTCTCAATAACTAATTTTATTGTGTCTTTTGTGATCTTTTATGGTAAATGAATAAAGGCTAATCATGTTCTCTGTCACAGGGGCAGATGGCAGTGTCATGTTGGCTGTCAGCGTCAGCTGGTGTTTCCTTCGTATGCTTAAGTACTACGGTGCTACGTACATAACATAAAATGTGAAGCAATGTGAAGAAATTAAAGGTTTGATCAACTTGTCCTTGGTACTTTGTTGTGGTCAGCTTGGTGTGTCAAGGCCCTCAGACAAAGAACAAGGGACCTCTCTGCTCCATTCCACAGCAGCTCCCAAATTGCCGCTAAGTGTGTGTGTGTCAAAATAAAGTACTTTATATCCTTTTTGATATTGATCTAACACACTTCTTACTTCTATAGTATACTGCTCAAATATGCGTAGCTGGAGAAAGATGTCTAGCTTGATTTTGCGTTCGTGGAAGAGTTCCTCCATCTGGCCCTGGGCCTCGTCAAGCTGCTGCAGCACCCCCTGGATGTGTGCAATGGAACTGCAGTGTGGTGTCTTGTTGGTCGACATCGCTGCATCTCTGTGGAAAGAGTGAGAGAGGGAGACATTAAAACATACAGGCCCCGACAGAAGATCATTATAGGGCCCCCTTCAGTAACAGTATGAACCAACCAGCATTTCCACTCCAGCTTGTAGAATTACAACCTAGTACTTTCCCTCACAACTAGCAATATTTTATTTCCCTTTACACAAATAAGAGGAGGGGAAAGAGAGAGGTGGAGGCAAAAGCAGAAATAACACCATAACAAAAAACTTGTCATTGTCCGTCTATTTGTGCAAGCGTTGTAATTATTATTCATAACCTTACCTTAGTGATGTGATGAACTTGACATTTTAATGACACTTTAAGTATGAATATCATTACCTGAGCTGCTGAACGAATCCTCATCTCTCTTCATTAACATTATAAATATTAAAATCATTACCTGAGCAACTCTATTATAATTTTTCTCCCTCTCAAACACCATCGTGAATATTATTATAAATTGTATTATTACCTGAGCTGCTGTATTAATTCCTCTCCCTCTTTAATCACATTGAGCGTTGCTTCCAGTGTGGCCGTCTGCTGCTGCTGAAACTGCTGGATCAGAGTCTGAACAGAATCCACTGAATCGCAGCATACTTCGTCCAGCAGCTGCTTCTGCAGCTCTTCCATCCACGACCACAGCTGGACACAAACAAGCAAACACGCAGACAGAGAGGCAGGTTAGTAGATGTGTCATCAATCTTTAAGCACAGAATTTTCTCTCCACTGTATCTCCTCAACACTAATGTATCTCAAAATACTGAATACTGAAAATATCACTAACAAATATCACTCAACAGACTACAGTGCCATTAATTGTGGCAGGTGAAACTCTATATTCTACTCAAACCTGCAGATACACATATTTAACATATCAGAGTCTCTGTGGTTAAAGACAAAATTATTTATTTCTTGATATTTGTTATGAAGGTAAAACTCTCTGACAACAGCAGTATGTCTGAGAATGTGTTCCTTTGGTGTGTTTGGGTGCCCCACCTCCTTGGTGTGCGTGTGGAAGGAGACAGACATGTCGAGCAGAAGCTTCCTATGTTCGACACGGCGGACGAAATCCTGGATTCGGACTTCCAGGTGTCTGGCTGCCTTGTAGATTTCCTCTGGGTCGCACTCTCCGGTCTGAGCCAGCTGCTCAGCTGCCTCGAGCAGCTTGTCTGCATTAGTGTACGTGTTCTGAAAGGAGGAGGATGGACCTTCATCATCATCAACAGCAACACCATCAACATTATCAATATCTGTACAAGCGCGGTCTTGTGCTTAGTCATGTTTGTGATTGGAATTTACAAACAGTTCTATTGTTTCATGCCACATTACCAGTCTCTAACATGTGAAGCAGATCAAACTGTGGTGAAGTGACAACAAACTACTTATAAAAATGTATTAGAGTTTTCAGTACAGCTTCTCACTGCCTGTTTTAATTGTCTCCAAGGGGTCTTAATATAAATAAAACATTAACATAAGTTCTACATTCTTGACTGTCACATTTTTTAATGGTCATCATCTTTATCATCACTGTCACCTACACTTTATAATTATTTACCATTATCATCATCACTGTTCGCTTTATCATCATCATTATGATTTGTTTTCCTCATTCATTACAAACGTCTTCTTTCTTTTGTTACTTTTGTCAGTGTTTTCATGATATTAGCTTACACATCATCACTAACAATAAAACTTTGTGGCATCCAGACCTCTCAGATAGTGTTTCTGACCTAATATAATCACATTTACACCTAAACACCACTGCCGGACAGAGATTACACTAAATCAGGCACCTACACACACACACACACACACACACACACACACACACACACACACACACACGCGCACACACACACACACACACACACACACGCGCACACACACACACACACACAGTTGGATCTTGTTCTATTAAATTGTTAATTCCAGTTTGTGTTAATCAACAGCATAAGGTTTCCTGTTTCTATCTCTATCTCCCCCAAAAGGGAATAAATCCTGTCTGAGTGTTAAAGCTCTCAGCATTCATCAGGGGGACAAAATGAATTAGTGTCAGTCTATTCTGGTAAGTATGACTGGAATATTTCCCTTCAGGAAATATTTTACATCTGAGATATTTAGGGGTGATTGGAGGTTAGGGGTGTGATACTACAGTGAGAATAAAATGTGGTGTTATGACCCCAATTACTCATGAATATAAGTTAGGGTATTTTGGGGGAAAGCTTATAGTCTGACCATTTCACATATTAGAGGGATTAGTTAGAAGATACAAGAAGATAGATAACAATAGATTATTATTTTTCGGCACATAACTAGTTTGGTTCAGGGTGAGAATTATAGCATAGAGAGAGAACAGGAAAGCAGAATCATCCCATCAATATAGAAGACCAAACCTGACCTTTTAGGACATACATGAATAAATGAATTTATATAATGGTAAATAAAAACTGATATGTACATTAATAAATACAATTTATTACATTCACTGAACAAACAAACTGAGAATAAACAGATTAAAACTGAAAAACATAGACAAAGACAAAATCAGCTGATAGAAAAAAAAAATCCTTTAGAGACTGAATGAAGTCCCATCCATCCCCACTGAATCAGGGTGGCAGCCAAATTATCAGCCTTTCCCACTTCTTTATAGAGATGCCCTAACAACAGACTCCAACACCCAAACAACTGGTAACCAGTATGTCTGGTCTGACCTCCCTTTCAACCTACCGATGTTGGTTGTGGAACAGGTGAAGCAATGTTGCCCCTCCATAGAGAAATTAAGATTCAAGGCATTGGAAGAAGCTGGAGAATGTGGGTTTTAATGAGAGTAAATGAGTTCTGGGTTTTCATTAAGTCTTTCCGTTTGATGTTTGGTTGGTTTTAATGGAGAACTTATTAGATGTAGATGAGGAGAGCTAAAAATAAAATAGCAGTAATGATGGTAAAATGACACATATAAACACCCAGTTAAACATACATCCCACTACATGCCTTAACTGAAACGGACACTTTTATGCGTCCTTACATCCAGTATATACTACATCACTAGACCGTCTTTTCTGCATTTCAGGAAAGGGAATTAATAACATAAATTTGAGCATATGTTTGTGTGTGTGCGTGAGAGGCTGTGTGATGTGAGTAAACATTCATCTCTTGGCATGTATCTTCAACATGTACTTCATTTATTAACGGTATGTATGTAGCTAAGTGGAGAGTTTTGTCAGTAAAATATCAGAAACTGTGCAGAAATCCTGACAGGAGGGAAAAGTAGGGAGTCTGACCCAAATAATGCTGATCCACAGCAGGTTATGAAGGTTAATCCTAATCCAGAGTGTAAACATCAGATTACACAACTACACACTTTCTATAGGATTAGCACTCACTCCTTTATATAATTATCACTTTACTGAAACTCCACTGACCAAAGTACTAGTAAATGATTTATCAACTGCCATGGATTATGATTAGACACCTGTTTTAATGTAATTTGATTTGAGATGGCAGTGGATGTCATAGACCACATTATGCTTCTTTTTTTTCTTCAAAAACTAGAACGCACTTAGCGGCACGGAGGTGCAAATTGTTGAGAAAGCCTCTATTATAAATTAAATTGATGGGCTGAGGAGGGCTTGGAAAGGTTGTGGGACTTCTGCTCCATCCAGCAAGAGAGAAAAATTACAGAAAGACTTGGGGAGAAGGACAAGATGAGGAAGGAAAAAAAGAAAAGAGTATAAATAGGAAAAGAAGGGTTATACAGTGGATCTCAATATGTCTTGTCTGAGCCGTGCAGATCAGCCGTGTGTTCAGGCTTATTTAACAGCAGCAGAGAGAGATGGTAAGGATTTGATGATCCTGATCATATAAGATATTGTTTGACCTTCTATTATTTGTTTAGTCTCCAAAGCAATGCTCTATAAAACGCACATCTGCTGTCTGAGTACTTGCATGGCCTAAAATAAATCAGACAACTGACAACTTAAATAGAGAAGATCAAATAATTTTAGTACACCCAATCCACTTCAAAGCCATTCAAAGCTTCAATTGCATGAATTATTTCTGTAAACCCTGTGTGTGCTTCCTTAAGCATGCCTCACTGACAGTTTTGGTGTATAGTGTTGTTGCATCACTTAAGTACTCAACTTGAGGTTCAAGGACGATGAAGTCTCTGCAATAATGCTGCCTGTGCACTGGACAGCGTTGTACAGAAAAGTGTTGCTATTGTTCATTTTTAAATGTTATATTTTACTTATCTTTATTTTACTATGTCAAATTTTCAAACCATTTTTTGTTTACAAGCTAAATTTTTTGCTCACATCTCTACTCTCCTCTGAGAACTTTAACATCTTTCTGAGTTCCAGTGATTCTTACAGACTGTAGCACTGAAATTCAGGAATGGACAACATCTTCTGCAGATCTTTCAGGAAAGGCTTGTGACCATAAATGGTTATGCAGAGGCATGTCTTCATGTTTCCTGCCACCATCAGGCATGGTGGTTTTGAAAATTTGGGATTAATCAAGGCAGATTACTTACAGATGTTTGCAAGGCAAGTGAATAAACATTTGATAAAAACAAACTACTAACTTCAAATTTTTCATGGCAGGAGTGGACCTTTTCTATGTTATGTTGATTCTGTAAATGAGCACCCAGATATGGATTTGGACTGACCAACTCCTGAACTCCAGAAGTTTAGACAGTGACACAATTTTCACTGCTTTTAGACAAGTATGCATTCAGAAATTCATCTTCAATACTGAAATCATGACAGCATAATAATATACAGGTGAAACTGCTTTACTGTTAAAGAACAGTTTTGCTCTTACTCGCATCTAATTGCAGTGTGAAGACATCAGCAAAGAAATGCGGCACTCTAAAAGACAAAAGGCAGTGTTGGTTGCTATTGAAAATGACTGATCACTGTGGCATTTGCCTGTTTAATTTAGTCTTTCTGATTATGGAAGTGAAAGTTTTCATTACGATACTTGGATGGAAACCCATGTGGACAAACAGACTCACCTGAGCTACGTCTTCAAAGTCGTCGTGTCTTTTCTGCAGGGCTCGGGCTCTGTGGAGGGATTTCCCAACACCAGTGTGTTTGCTGAGGAAAGCCTCGCCATGGTTTTCTATCCAGTCCATCACCTGGATGAGAGAGAACACAATGATCGCTTTCAAAACGCCTCCAAAACACACCCAGAATTCACCTGCTGAAACTTCTGGACCTGAAGCTGCATACTTTTTTCTGTGACACATACAGATCACTACAAAATGGTCTAAAACCTCATGAATAAAGAATGGAACAGACTAAACCTTCAGGATCTGTGTGGGAAATTTAGGTCACTGCAGCTTCGAAGAATAAGGTGTTGATTCACTAATTTCACTGTAGGTCAACGTTTTGACAAATTGTGCATTTTGCAGCTGGACTATGTTGGAAAATGTAAATATTTGCTCAGGATTTTGTATAGGCTGACTCTATGGGAAAAAGGGCTTATGATGAAAAAAAACTAGGTTTATAGTTTAGCTTAGCTGGATATATACATTGATTCAGCACAACGCTAAAGTGGTTTACATAACTTCACAGCTCTCACATAGCCATGCAGTCAGCAGTAGGGTGTATGTTATGACCAAGCAGCAACCTCTGAGGCTGAAAAATTAAGCAAATTTTAAGTGCCAAAACGTGCAGTTCCTTAAATGACCACTTAAGGCTGCCTCCAAAAGTGAGTCAATCTCAAAGTCCAGGGGAATGATCCGTCCATGTCCAACTTTATAGCAAAAAAAGCCTGGTACAAAAAACAGTTTTGGTCTGTATAGCTAATTTCACCCTTTCATGACAACTGTGCAGGCTGCGTTCATGTTTTACACAGGCTATGACCAGTGTTGGGCAAATTACTTGAATGTGATCAATTACTTATTATAGATTAATCATTCAAACGTTATCCCATTCATTTAACAATTACTCAACAGCAAAAGTAATTAGTTACATTGCTCGTTGCATTCATATTGTCAGCCCACCTCAGCCAAATGGGTTTTAGAACTCCACAGCTTCCACACCCACATTATGTCATGCTAGCTTAATGTTTACCAGTGTCTGCACCATAGACTGTATCTGCACACACCACTTCAGAAGTCCCATCCTCACAGTGAAGCCGAGGGGTTCACACACTCCAACTCTGAATTTAACCAGGTGATTCCTGAATATAGGCTTACCGGTGGCTAATGTTAGCAATCCAGCTAAAAGAAGACACCACATGTAAATAAAACAGCTTTGGAGTTATCAGGAGTCGCTGGCTGTGTCCGAAATCCCCACTCATTCACTACTCCCTACCCCCTATGTAGGGAGTAGTATGTAGAGCACTACTTTGAGAGCTCACTCGCATTATTAAAACAACACTTTCGGACACTACTAATTACGTCATTGCCGTCGGACAATCAGGATCTTTTTTTTTTATCAGCGCAATGCGTGATGGCATGTAGGGCTTTGTTAGTGACCATCGGTTGTACACTACTTCTATATAGGGGATAATAATTATCACTATACATTCGGACAGCACTACAAAATGGCGAGCTCACTATATAATCCACTATATAGTGAGTAGTCGGAGATTTTGGACACAGCCCCTGCCTTCCCACACCTTCAGCTCCTGTAGTAAGCTAACACATACCGAACCTTCAATATTTAAGTTAATAATAAAGCATTACTAGAATCAGTAGCTGTAATGTAATCACTGGAATTTCACGTATAATCCCTGACACTACATTTTAGGGGAAAAAATAAATGACATTACTGTGACGTGTTACTAATGCATTACTGCCCAATACTGGTTACAAAAAAAGGGCAAACTGGCAAAATTCAATTCTAATATTCAGTCTCATTTAGCTCTTTTTGGTCACTACCAACTCCAGAGAGAAATATGCTAAATGCTAAATGCTTTGCTATGTTCACCAGCTAGTTGCTAACTGTGTCTATCTTCTCTGTGGTGCTGAGTGGGTAGCATTCAGTGGGTTTTTAGAGCTTTTTCACTGAAAAGAGCTGCCTCCTTAAGGACAGTGAACCAAAACAGTAAAGCTGTGGCCAGTCAGCTACACAATGAGCTGAAACTGACTATAAAGCTCTGTCGATTAATATCTTCTAATATCTTTGCGTCACATTCATGTGAACGATAATAAAATATGGCATGTATCTAAATCCAGCAAATCAAGCTTCAAATCTGCTGCTTCTTGACAATAACCCATGCTCCAACATCACATTTGGTGCAAGAACACTTAACACATGATACATTTTGAAGTAACAGTGTGTACGGATAAATAGTGTAAAGTAATTCATGACGTCAGTGTGGTGTAATCAGTCCAGCTGGGGCCACAAAGAGGTCACTGAAAGGTCACAACATACACAAACCTAAGCATGCTAACTGCAGCTGGCCTATCTTTGTTTCAATGTACAGCTAAAACTGCCAAATAAAACTACACACCCAATATGTTCTCTTTCAGCCTTCACTTCTGCATCGCTCTCTCGTCCTCTCTGGGGTCACATATATCCTGAAGCATTACAACTCTGGTTGGAATAGTCCTGTTTTCACTGATTTATAGACTATTGGTATGAGCTTACTCTCTCACTTGCTCCTTGTCTCACTTTCTATGTATGTCTCTCACCCTGTGTGTGTCTCTCCATGTCTCTCTCTGGGGTCTCATAGAAACTGATGCATGACGAGTACACTTGGCAAGCTATGTTTTCAATGAATTTATAACCTACTAATATAATCTATTCTTCACTCACTTTTTATCTCTCTCTCTCTTTGTCTTTTTAGCTCTCTCTCACACTCTCTCTTGGGTCAAATATAAATGTTTGCATGGTACCCATACTCAGAGCATCCATCTTTTATTAATTTATACATACTGTTCTGTAAAATGGACCCATTTAAAATTAATTAAATGTGCTGCTGTTATTGCGTGTGTGTCCTCCAGAAAAAGCTGAAAAAACAAACGAAAAACTAAACCTGATCTCAATACAGAGGGAGGGGCTATTCCAGGTGCCCCTTGTTTGGAACTAAAATTACCATTCACTTTTCCATCCACAGATGATGTTAAGTTACTCACAGTTGGAGTTCTTCTGCAGCTAGAATCCGCATGAATCAGTACAAAGTATTGACAACTGAGTCAGAGAATATCTGGTTCTTTGAAGTAGTTGAAGGTACAAGCCTGTGTACATAAAAACTTTGGGGGAGGAATTAACTACAATTCACAAGGTGCAGCCATCAATCTTAAAATTCACGTGGGCCAATGACACTGTAAAAGCAGCAGCAGGCAGCTCCTTCAAACTTCGCTACACTTTTGTTTTTCATCTGTTATTTTGCGGCTTTATTGCCGAAACACGTGTTACCTCTGTGTCATTGGAAAATGAAAAAGGGGTTTTTGGATTAAAGATCAGTGGACCGCGATCGATTTGGCCCAAACAACCGGACCAGTCACCACAGCGGGTGCGGTGATTGCTCACAGGAGAGGAAAGAGAGCAGGGATAGGAGCCATGTTGGGACTCATGTTGACCAAGCAATGGAATTCAGAGACTGTTGTGCCCACATCGTTACAGAGACCTGCCCCATCAACATCCCAGATCAAGCACTCGGCAGGTGGTCCATGTTTCGAGCTGTCAGCGCATGACTCCAGCAAGACGAGAGGAGGCGGACTCGATTACATCGATGATGCTTGGTGCACAAACGCAGTCAAGATGGACTCTGTTTCCCAAATGTCAGACTGTTTATTGTGAACATGAAACTTTCATTTTATCATCTGGTTGCTGCTTTTTACATTCACCCCAGAGCATACGCGTAGGAGCCATTATACACGAGGGGGACATTTCCCCCCCCACATTTCAAAATCTGTGTTTTGTCCTCCTCACTTTTTTTTGGGCGATTTTGGAGTTGTCTCATAGCCAGGCGGTTTGAGTGACTAGTTAATCAATCACACACTCCGCATCAGACATGGTTAAAGGGTTGAAACGCGGACAAAAATCATGTAGGCCTAGGTGCGAGCAACGTAATTTTGCAAAATAAATAAAATTTAAAAAGTAACCTTTTGACGTTCCTTTTTTAAAACCGTAGCCTACTTTTAATTTTGCTACATTTTCCATTCATATTATTTATGTTATTGTTCTACTGGCAGAACTGAAATCCAGTGAGCGCACACCATTGCACTGGTGGCCGTGTTGGAAAGCAGCGTGCGTCGCTCTTTAACAAGCCGGCGCATTAAAAGCATCTTTAGTCTCTGCAGAGAAAACGTAAACTTCACACTGTAACATCCTGATGATCACTAGAATGATTCTGATATATTAACAGTATCATGTTGTTGAAAAGAGCATCGCTTTCTTTTGATGGATATTCGCCTGTTTTGTTTTTGTTTTTTTTCTCAATAGCCTACTGTTTAATAGCGATGTGAGTCGATAAACTGAATGTCGCCGTTGAAACTAATCTTGGCTTTCACTCAGCAGCTACCAGCTGTTATTTATTCAGGAAACAATAATTTTTGAGATGCACAGAGAGAGTAAATATGGTGGATAAAACAGTCCTGTTTTACGCATGACGCACAGCTTCCTCTGTATGTAGTTTTACCTGCTTCAACAACGAGCTGCTCTGTGTTGCTGCCACAATCATTCTTTGCATTGTAAAGATTATTTAGATGCTTTAGGAATAATCAGATTTTTTTTGGCTTCCTGTGCTCCTGCAAAGCCAGTGGTTTGGTTGGCTACATGTCCATAATAAAAGACACAGGCAATAATGGTTGGCTGGGCAGCAAGCTGATATTTCAAAGCGATCTTATCAACAAAAAATATTATATTTATACATGAGTAGGTTTGTCATTTATTTCTTTTACTTTTTATGGGAGTAATTATACTTTTTCTTGAGTAAAGATTTTGAATAGTCTACCCGCCACTGGCCAGCGCACCAGTGACATGGTGAACATGAGACAGACAGCAGCGATGAGGTCAATAGCAGAACAGAGTCAAAGCAGCAGTTTATGGTCAGATTGATGATGATATGGCTTATTTAGTGATCTACTCAAGGGCTCAGCTGAAGTGATTACTTTACTGAGTGTTAGAGGGACGTTTCAAGTTTTGAAAATGTAATTTAAAGGCTCATTTAGTGATGTACTCTACTTGCATAAAATTCTCACGAATGCAGGAATAAAGGTCTGTAAAGACCCAGAGGCCCCGACACATGCTTTATCTGGAGAGCGGGTTGACCAGGGACAAACTCCTGGGCCACTTTTTTGCCTCTGTCTGTGATCAACCTTAAAAACATGTGCCAGGAGGTAGTGCCAGTAGTCAAAATGTTCACACAGAGATGAGCATCCTGCAGTATTTTAAGAGGACGAGGACAGAGGTCACAGGAGGAGAAGCAGAAATAACTGAGGACGACAAGCTTGTATGGATAGCTAGCAGACGTAGTAAATTCTAAAACTCACGTAGTAAAAAGACTTTGTTATTCCAGCGGCATGTCATCAGAGTTGTCAAGAGTTCTGTGTTCCCAAACATGTGTTGCAGGGAGAGTCAGGGCCAAGTGAGACACAGGAAATATCACAGACAGCTACATCAAGTGTAACATTAGGATAAATACAAATAAATACATTTGTACTGTGGCTACATTAACTAGCAGCTGTTCCATGGTTTTTATGGTATGTAGTCGGTTTTGTTCTATTTACAGTGAGGAAAATAAGTATTTGAACACCCTGCTATTTAGCAAGTTCTCCCACTTAGAAATCATGGAGGGGTCTGAAATTGTCATCGTAGGTGCATGTCCACTGTGAGAGACATAATCTAAAAAAAAAAATCCAGAAATCACAATGTATGATTTTTTAACTATTTATTTGTATGATACAGCTGCAAATAAGTATTTGAACACCTGTCTATCAGCTAGAATTCTGACTCTCAAAGACCTGTTAGTCTGCCTTCAAAATGTCCACCTCCACTCCATTTATTATCCTAAATTAGATGCACCTGTTTGAGGTCGTTAGCTGCATAAAGACACCTGTCCACCCCATACAATCAGTAAGAATCCAACTACTAACATGGCCAAGACCAAAGAGCTGTCCAAAGACACTAGAGACAAAATTGTACACCTCCACAAGGCTGGAAAGGGCTACGGGGAAATTGCCAAGCAGCTTGGTGAAAAAAGGTCCACTGTTGGAGCAATCATTAGAAAATGGAAGAAGCTAAACATGACTGTCAATCTCCCTCGGACTGGGGCTCCATGCAAGATCTCACCTCGTGGGGTCTCAATGATCCTAAGAAAGGTGAGAAATCAGCCCAGAACTACACGGGAGGAGCTGGTCAATGACCTGAAGAGAGCTGGGACCACCGTTTCCAAGGTTACTGTTGGTAATACAGTAAGACGTCATGGTTTGAAATCATGCATGGCACGGAAGGTTTCCCTGCTTAAACCAGCACATGTCAAGGCCCGTCTTCAGTTTGCCAATGACCATGTGGATGATCCAGAGGAGTCATGGGAGAAAGTCATGTGGTCAGATGAGACCAAAATAGAACTTTTTGGTCATAATTTCACTAACCGTGTTTGGAGGAAGAAGAATGATGAGTACCATCCCAAGAACAGCATCCCTACTGTGAAGCATGGGGGTGGTAGCATCATGCTTTGGGGCTGTTTTTCTGCACATGGGACAGGGCGACTGCACTGTATTAAGGAGAGGATGACCGGGGCCATGTATTGGGAGATTTTGGGGAACAACCTCCTTCCCTCAGTTAGAGCATTGAAGATGGGTCGAGGCCGGGTCTTCCAACATGACAATGACCCGAAGCACACAGCCAGGATAACCAAGGAGTGGCTCTGTAAGAAGCATATCAAGGTTCTGGCGTGGCCTAGCCAGTCTCCAGACCTAAACCCAATAGAGAATCTTTGGAGGGAGCTCAAACTCCGTGTTTCTCAGCGACAGCCCAGAAACCTGACTGATCTAGAGAAGATCTGTGTGGAGGAGTGGGCCAAAATCCCTCCTGCAGTGTGTGCAAACCTGGTGAAAAACTACAGGAAACGTTTGACCTCTGTAATTGCAAACAAAGACTACGGTACCAAATATTAACATTGATTTTCTCAGGTGTTCAAACACTTATTTGCAGCTGTATCATACAAATAAAGTTAAAAAATCATACATTGTGATTTCTGGATTTTTTTTTTTTAGATTATGTCTCTCACAGTGGACATGCACCTACAATGACAATTTCAGACCCCTCCATGATTTCAAAGTGGGAGAACTTGCAAAATAGCAGGGTGTTCAAATACTTATTTTCCTCACTGTATATTATACTCTCTCTCTCTGACCCTCTCCCTCTCCGAGTCTTCATAATCTCCCCTCTCCAGTCTGTTCTCTATCTTCTGTCACTACAAAGACCCTATTTCAGCCACACTAATAAGTACAATCTGTGAAGTGCTTTATTTAAAATAAAAATCTGGGGGGCATGCCCTCGAAACCCCCTAGCATTTCAGCATGCACCCCAGGTTTAAAGTCGCTCCTACGCCCCTGCCCCACATGCAAATTCAAAAAAGTAATCTTCTTGGTGTATACGTGTATGTATATATGTTTACAAATAACTGTATATTGTTTAATTTTATATGTTACCATATTTTAATATACACTTAATTATATGTTGTGTAGTGTATGAAGGAACTACAAATTTTGTTTCATTATGCAGCCTTATAAGTGCTATATAATGAAAAATAAACAAACTTGTACCTTGACAACAGGCAGGAGCTAAATATTATGCTGTTGAGAAACTGATTTAAAACTCTTCGGTTTAAATCAGCTCAATCTTAATTTTAAACTCATAAGATGACTCCATTAGGGCTGACCCCGCATAGTCGAAGATTTGTAAGTTACTACTAATAAATACAGACTGCAACCCCGCCCCCCCCACTGCCACACAGACACTCATATGATTCTACTATCAGTCAACTATACAATAAAAAAATAGTAGTTAGTCGGGGACAGCCCTAGACTCCATATATGTCATAATGTATCAACATATATAATGTATACTGAACAAAATTATAAACGCAACACTTTTGTTTTTGCCCCCATTCATCATGAGCTGAACTCAAAGATCTAAGACTTTCTCTATGTGCACAAAAGGCCTATTTCTCTCAAATATTGTTCACAAATCTGTCAAAATCTGTGTTAGTGAGCACTTCTCCTTTGCCGAGATAATCCATCCACCTCACAGGTGTGGCATATCAAGATGCTGATCAGACAGCATGGGTATTGCACAGGTATGACTTAGGCTGGCCACAATAACTATCATTGCCTGAAGGTGGCGCAAATCTACATCTGCAAGTCTGAGCAGATAGGTGGCACAGAGTGGACTGGAACTGCAGGTGTCAAACTACAGGATGATGATGATGGATGATATTGCCTGGACTTAGTTGCTGTGCTTTATGTGAAAAAGTCTTTAGAGTGCACATGTATTTACTTAGATTCCAGAAGTTTCAGTACTGTCAGGGGTTTTTGGTTGTACGTCATTCCTACTATATTACTGTTGGACTCACAATCACACTAAAGAAGGTAAAATAATACACAAGACCTCCCCCTCAACCACTGATGACATTCACTCTGCTGGTTAAAAATACCCTTCATAAAATATAGCTGTGATATAAAAATTTTGAGCTCCTGGATATATCTAAAACCTCCAGGAATCTGGGCTGACACCTTTCCAAAACCACATGGTCTGCTCGTCTGAGACATATAAGCAGTGGTGCCAGCGGAGCAGAGATCCGCTCTGAGTGTTTTATCTCAGGAATTTTCACATTACACACTGTTTAGCTGGGACGAGAAGACAGCAGAGATGAATGAACATATGGTAATTCTCATCTGTTCTGCCAAGCAAAGTTCATCACACACACACACACACACACACACACACACATACCCACACACACACACACACATCATTGCTGTCATTGCTGTTCACTTGATTACATGCTTACATACAAGATTACATGGTCCAGTGTGGTTTGACTAAATTCTCCGACCTCGTGGGTGAGCAAAACTTTTACAACCCTCTTTTAGTAAACTCAAAACTGCAATAAAAAGTTACAATGTTGTTTTTGTCAATTCCTAAAAAGCTGGCATTTACATTCAATAGCAACAACATATTCACTCAGTTGCCTGTACACTGCATAAGTTTTCATTTCTCTTGCTTGCTGTATGCTTTGTGCACGTGTGTTTGCATGTGTACCTGCTGGACATCTTGCTGGAAAACACACAGCTGCAGTCTCTGGTGGAGTCGGACCTTTCGATGCTGCCAAATATTTTCCAGCCGCCGCTGATGGTGGAGAACCTCATGAACCACATCCAGGATGCAATGAACCTGCGAAGTAACATAAATGTTAACTAGACAGTCGCGTTTATTAATTTTATTCGATTTTTATTAAATATGAAATACATGCTGCCTCTAGTTTTGTAATTGCTTCGCAGAAGAAGCCCTGACCCGACAAAGGAACTTCACTTACAAAGACCACGCCTACGAATGTAGAAGGTTAACAATGGTTTATTGCTTGTAATGGAGCTGAGATAGATTGCATGAAAAGAACGGATCAAGTGAGGGATGTAGGGATGGGGAGAGGGTCGAGGGATGAGGGGTAGGGATCGAGGTGTGGTGGATGAAGGGTTGAGGGGAATTCAGGTGGGGGATGAAGGGGAGGAGTCGGATCCGCGCCGATGGATGCATGAATGAAGAGCTGACCGGTATTGAGAAGGTGTGCGGGAACCGGTGGAGTCGAGACTCGAGGTGGGGGAGCCGTCTCTTAGTCCGCGGACGTGCGGAAACCCCCAAAGGAACATCAGATGAAAGGTGTGCGTGAGCGTTTCTGATATCGTTTAGGTCGTAACGGATGTAAGTGAAGTATGCTGGTGAGGACCAGCGGCCGAGGATTTGGTTATGTTGGCTGGGACTCTCTGTCTGGAGACGGTGCGGAACGGATGCCCGAGTAGAGTTTGGGGGAAATGCCAGATTTGGATAGAATTTGGCAGAGGAGTTTGTGACACCAGAAGAGTGGCTACTTCCCTGTCTCTGTGACGAACAGAGGATCTTGGGGGGAAGGCTTGGCTGGCTATTATCAAGTCTACATAGAGTTGTATGGTTCATACGAACTGAGGTAAGAAATCGAGTCGGAAAAGGTAGATGGGTTGCGGCAGACCGGATTGGTTAGTTTTGCTGCGTTTGGGGTGATGAAGGAGTGTGTCTGTGGATGGAAATCCGAGCTTGTGGTGAAACTTGCAACAGAGGCGAACATGCCTTAGACTGCAGCCGAAGGTGTGCGGCTGTTAAATCACGCGTGTACTTGGCACGTGCAGGCCTTTATTGTACGGTTTACGGTGCACATGAGGAGAAAAAGCTGTGCTCTTCTCTTTCTTTCGTTGAGTTGCTTGCGTGTTTGGCTGCAAGCAAAAACTGCTAGCATTTGTATTTATTTATTTTATTTATATTTGTTTATGATCTAGTTACAAGAGAAGGCGTACGTGTCGACTGAAGTACTGTATTGACTGAAGACGTTACGATTATATACGATGCCGAGGCTGTTTCGGTCGATACCGTAAGTTACAGAGTGGTAGACTGCAAGGGTGCATGCTGAGACCGGATCTGATGATGCACCGCAGAGGATGCAGTTCGAGGGCCGTGCTGCAAAGACGCGGCAGTAAGCTTGGGGTCTAGGGTGCCCCAGTACGTCCCTTGGTTGAACTGCTGCACGTGGCCGGCGGCTTGAGATGAGGACGGAGGACGGGATAGAAGCCGCTGCCGCCGAACCGCAAGGCCAGGTCTAAGATTAGGGACAGGTAATCATCCAGCTCTGACCTGCGGTCGGGGAAGACTGAACTTGAATCTTTTTTCCTGAATAGGGTGACACGGGGGATGGTCTGGCTGGGCCCGCGGGGCGCACCAGAGGTGTTAATAAGCGGGTTATGTGAGGATGGAGTAATCGGTGAAGCTAGTTTGATGTGGTTGCTGGCGAGAATGTTTTGGGTGAAGAGGGTGGCACTGGGGATGGTCTGGCTGGGTCCGCGGGGCGCACCAGAGGTGTGAATTAACGGGTTAGCCTACGTGAGGATGGATTAATCGATGAAGCGAGTTCGATGTGGTTACTGGCGAGAATCTTTAGCGTGAAGAGGGTGGCACTGGGGATGGTCTGGCTGGGCCCGTGGGGCACACCAGAGGTGTGAATAAACAGGTTATGTGAGGATGGATTAATCGGTGAAGAGAGTTTGGTGTTGTTTCTGGCTAAAGTGAAGTGATTAGACGGGGGGTGGAAAAGTGGAAAGAACCGGTCGGCGCAGCAGTGGGTGGAGCTGTGGAGAAAAGGATGCGTTAGAAGAGAGAAAAGTCACATTTGATGCATTTGGGATATGGGGAGGGGGTAGGGGGGTAGGAAGGGGGGTAGGGAGGGAGAAAAGTATAGACAGGAGGTATAGTCTGGTCGATGGCGTTTTCGTAGATCTCGTGTGTGGATGCGGTCTATGGGCGGCTGCGGTAGCTGGTATCGGGGGTCTCGTGTGTGGATGTGGTCTGGGCGGCTGTGGTTGCCGCCGGTATTGGATAGGAAGGGCCGATGGTGCCAGAGGAGATGGGATAGGGAAAGTAGGAACAAGGGAAGAAGAAAGGATGCGGGGATGGAGGGATGTATGTGCTCTGGTTGATAGTGACGTTTGAGAAATAGAAAACGAATGAGAAAGAGATTGAGGTGCAACTGAACTTGATACGACCTGGCCCTGTGTGAGGGCTGATATGGGGTTGTGATTCTTCTGTCGCCGTGGGACGCGCCACGGAGTCGTTGGCATTGCCTCAGAAGTAGCGCTGGCGACCTGGAAGTGCTGGGGAGCTCTGCGTTGGAGAGTTGTGTGCGGCTCCTTTTACAGTTGGAAAAGTTTCGCTTTATTGTCGGAGTGCTGGAAGGAGATGTTTCTCCGGTTGAATTCTTTCTGGAACCGGACAACTGTCCATTCAGAGATGTTTCGAGTGGAAGGACGGCCGGGGTGCTGGCTCGGAGGTCGCTCGGGCGCCGGGACCTTGAGCGGACCGGCAGACGGCAGCTAGTCGAGGCTGGTTGCTCGGAGCGCCGAAGCCGGGATCTCCCCCTGGAGCTGCTGGCGGGCGAAGGCCCGACGATATTCGAATCGTCGGGGATCGTAGGCTGAGATCGCCTGGGAATATTAGTAGCTGAATGCAGCAGACATTTTGGTCGAAGTTGTTCGGGAGAAGGCGAGGGCTCCGGTGTATCTGACGTTAGATGCTCGTCGAACATGTCGCTGTCCGAGAGATTGAGAAGGAGTTCTGAGTCCGACGTTGCAGGTAAGTGGTTTCGTTTGTTTGTCACGCTCATGAGAAAGCCGAGACAAGGGTAGGTGAACGGAGAAGGTGCGCTTAAGTACTAGGTGTGCAGAAATTGGATGAGTTTGAGGCGTGGCCTTAGTTCCCGAATTTAGTTTATAAACCTTCACATAATGGTACTGACCGCTTTGGAGTAATTGGCAGTGGCTGTCAGCGAATCAGAATTGCCAGGACCCAGGGGCCTCTGGAGGACATCCAGTAGGGCTTTACCGTCCTGACTCACCTGGAAACACAGACAGGTAGATAAAGACAGACTGAAGGGAAGAAAACAGGCAGACAGATGACAAGAGTAAAACTGCTTTAAGCATTGAAATAAAAATCTTTTTTAAAAAAGGTTTAGCATTTTCTGCTTCTTCTCTGCCGAGCTTCCATTATCTTCCCCTTATTCTCTCTCCTCCTCCAAACAAATATATACTTCCTAAATCAGCATTTAACTCCTGACCGCTAATTGCAAAATTATACATGGAAACACACCACTGAAACCTCTGCATCACACATAAGCAGTGACTGCTATTTCCTTTCTGCAGCCCTGTGTATCTTTTTATATGTTTCATCAATATCTTTCCTTCATGGCTTTCATAGTATTTTTGAATTGCCTTGTTGTGTGTTTTTTTTATCAGTAAAGGCTATTTAAAACAAAACGATAGTGAACTTTCAAGATCCTGCTGATTTGAGTTATTTCAGATGTTGTGGGCTGGTTTACATGTCTCGCTTCCATGTGTATGGGCATTTGAATGAAATAAATGGCTCATGACTAATCAACTATTTGTTTCAGCACTTCTGCTTTTATTTGAATCTTTTCCAGACATTTTACTGGCTCCTGAGCTGGAACACTCCAGGACTGGCACTAACATGAAAATAAATTAAGAAGATTTACATAATGAGATGCAAGAGAAACAACCTAAAAAGTAGCTTTAACATGGTTAGCTGTGAAGATGATTCAAAACCAAGACATTCAATGCATGCCATTACCTTGATCAGAAGGTAAAACACCAAACTGCATGAGGGAATTTTTTCCTTTGAACCAGTGATTATAGACACAGTTTTTGTCTCGCTTAAAGCAACCAAGCAAAGAGCAGATTCAGCACATGCCTGTACACACACACGCGCGCCTGGCAGAAACGCCTGCATCTTCATTCTTTCTGCTTTTAATCATTCAAAGATGTTTTGTAGTCACATTATTTCATAGAACAGAGAACATGATGTTGTAATTCACCTTTCAAACAAAAGGAGCTTCTGCTTACAGATCTTTATTTTGTGTCATATCGTTTCTGAAAACCTTGAAAAGAACTCGGGCAGCACTGTGACATGCATTCATCTCATTAAATGAATGCATCAAGGGTACAAGATAAAAACCCTCACCAGTCTGTGAGAATGTCACTTTTTGCAGCACTCACAGGAAACAATGCTGTCATAGCTTGCCAAGCCTAACCGCCTCAGTCTGAGCCTCTGCCCAGAGCTTTATATGTGTGTGTGTGTGTGTGTATATATATATATATATATATATATATATATATATATATATATATATATGGGCTTATCTTTTCAAAGATAAGCATAAATTCAGCTAACACTGCAACAGCTCGTCTAAAGATAAAATACCGGAGGAGAGCGGGAGTGTTCTCAGACTAAATTTAGTGGAACACAGAGGGTTTTCAGACTGCGGCTCTGGATGGCGGTGGTGCGGCAGCTGACCAACGCCACCCTGTCATCACAGCCAGCATTACTGAGATGCCACATAGCAGCACTTACTGCGTATAAATGTCTTTCTTAATCATCACTGTCACAGTAATAAACAACAGACATGTTGGAGCTCTCCTACACTGCACAGGAAAGTAAAAAAACTAAGCATGCTGGGAAATAGGAAGAAATACAAAAGCAATGTTTTGTAAGCAAAGACAGAAAATGACACAACAGAAGAAATTGGTGCCTAAGAAAGATGGCTGTGAGCAGTGAACTCAAACTCCAGGTTTCGATGTAGAAACCAACAGGCAAAAGCTGATAACAGATGCAACAGCCTTTAGTATAGTGCCAAGATGTTAAATTTAATTTTGACCTCATACAGGCTCTGGAGGCAGTGGATGATCAGTGTATTCCAGTTACTAGGTTATGTGGTTAGCTGTGCTGTTTAGCTGTTTACCTCAGTGTAAGCCTGGGTGACTTGCTCGTACAGGCTCTGATGGCGGTGGATAGCGATTTCCAGCTCCTGCATTTCGGACGGTAACCCTCCCTCACTGCAGACTTTACACCAGGCCTCCACCTCCGACAGGAACTGAGGAAGCAACACAGACACACAAAGTGTGTATTAACATGAGAATTAATCTAACAAGATCGTGAGGCTATGGAAAACTACTGTATAAAGTTATGTACATGTGAGGGGTTTTTTTCAGATTACAGTTGCAGATATAACAAACAGATCTGTACATTCTTGGTCTGTTTTCACCCATAGCGCAGTGTATCATCTGTCCTGGGCCTGTTTTCTGAGAAGTTTCAGCAGAGCACCCCTCGTGGTACGTTTCATCAAGACGTACAAAAGTTGGTAGGCACATGTAACATTCTAAAACGTTAACTCCCTTAAAGTCTCTCTGCGATGACCTGAACCCAAAACTATGACAGCAATATTGAATTCAGTGTACAATTTCAATAAAATTCACATGCGCCATGTTTGACAAACTCCATCTAGGAAGTGCCAGATCTGGTCAGAGTAGATACCGGTACAGCATATATATATATATATATATATATATATATATGTATATGTATATATACACACAATAAGCTGTGCTGTGGAATACATGAATGAAAACTGCAAACTCAAGAGGACTTTAGTGTTGCTGTAATTTACTAACAGGGTTAATGTGGCTGCAAATAATGAAGACAGCCTTTACGTCTCTCTCTCTCTCTAAATTGCTCTCATTTTCACACTCTTCTATCTATAGTCTTGCCAATTTCCTTTCTCTTGTCTCTCCCTCCCCATCTTGAGTTTCACCTTTCATCCTGACACTTTTTTTGCTCGTCTGTTTTTCATTAGACTCTTTCTCAATCTGAGCCAATCCCTCCTCTGCCCCCACCACTCTGTCTCTCCCTCTTTTAGTCTTTCATCTCCAGCTCTCTCAAATGTACACTTGTAGCTAATGTCAAGGGCCCAGCAGGAATCAAACAAGTCCCATCTGTTGCCATGTCAACCTTCCAAGAATCAGCAGTAGAGCAGTTTGATCTATTAAATATAATCAGACACTAAAAATGTCCCATTTACATTTTACATTCTGGACATGTGTGTGTGTGTGTGTGTGTGTGTGTGCTGCAGTGAGACTGCTACACTAGATGGTTCCCAGATCTGCAACCAAGCAGTAAAGAAGTGAAGAGGATGTCCCTACATCACGTAAGGAGGAGGGGGTTTTTTTATTCACAAATATGGCCAATGTGTTTTCACCTATTCAGGTAACTTTTACATTTGTTCTCATGATCTCACCTGTTCAGCCTTCTGGTGAAAGACAGACGACATGGCGAGGATGGTGGAGCGCTCGTCAAGTGCAGCAGCAAAACTTTTCCAGTCCTGATCCAGCTGACCTGAGATCTGTTTTATTTGTGTGGAGGCGTAGTGACTGGCCTCGGCCAGACGGCTCGCGACTGACATGATTCTGTTGATATTTACATAGGCATTCTGGGAAGAAAAAAAAACAATTAACAAAATGCTGTTGGCAACCAAATGGCTAATGATGTCGGTCTTACTGTCATCAATACAACTGGATTTAATCGTTAACATTTAGCATGATATACTATTTCATACTATAAGTGTGTGTACGGTTGTATTTTTCAGTTTGATAAGGAAAATAGGTGCATGGATATTTCCTTTCTTGACATTCTGTAAGTTTATTTAGTTTATTTATTAGACTAAAAACAATAAGAGACCTTGTGTAAAGTGGCAAACTCGCCACTGTCACACATCTCGCAACTGAAACTACAGAGGTAGGCCTGAGCTATACTATCAGACTATCGGACTATCGCCTCTCTGGGCATAAGTGGAATTACAAGACAGGATGGGCAAGGGCTAGCTCGTTAGCATGCTAACATCAGAAGATGTCTCTGCAACTCAGTACATAGAAGTCTTTGACATAATGTCACAACTGTGACTTCTTTACATTCTTTTGAATGTGTAAGATTCTGGCTATGTCTTACACATTGCACCTTTAACCGATGTAGAAGTATGTTTTTATTTTTAAGCCATGGCTTGCATGTTTCTGCAATATTTTATTATGATAAACAAAGGCAAATAATGCTAACTTAACATAAAAACTAAATTACTAAATTCTAAGTGTAGTTAAAACTTTGGCAGATAAACAGATAATCTAGCACAGAGTCTGTGTATTTATAATGATGATACAGTAACCTCTTCTTATCGCTGCTGTCCTGCACAGTGATCTACAGTGATATAATGTAAGATTTATGATTTATGATGACATTAGGTACCATAGAGTTCATGGCAAAGTGGTTGTGTTGAGTCTGCAGCTCCACAGCATGTTGGTAAGCTCGGCCAATCTCTGTGTGACTCTGCAGGAACACTTCCTTGTTGTGGCTGATCCAGTCAAACATCTGCACACACACCACACAGCAACATTAATTATACGGAAAGATTATGTCACACATAAAAATGTTTTATCACTGTGAGTGCAGAAAAACCTCAGGAACAAATATAAACCATTTGCAATGAGAGCACATGTGAGAAGACCATTTGTTCAATTTAAAAGGACTTCTCTCTCAAAAACTCAAAAACTGAAGTTCGACAAACCTTAACTCCATGTTAACTTATAGCTTTTTGCAGTTGAAAGCTCTGGAAGAGCTAGTATGTGGACCTTGAATTCAGATATCTTTATCAAACTACTGTTTTCAAGATCAAGAATGAACTTAAATAAAACAAGATGTCTATGAAGATTCTCAGTTCTGAAGAACTGAAGAAGTCCTTTGGATGAGGAACGAAACGTCTTCCAGTATCTTCAACCAAGTCCAGTTGCCCTTGACTTTAACCTTCGTTGGATAACTATGACCTGGATGACTGAGAATCTTCATAGACATCTTGCTTATCATTTTGGCATGAACACCCTCAGATTGGTACGGGAGTATGAAAGGACAGAACTGAAGAAGTCCTTTGGATGAGGGACGAAACGTCTTCCAGTATCTTCAACCAAGTCCAGTTGCCCTTGATTTTAACCTTCGTTGGTTAAATAAAACACCGATTCCAATCGAATCGAATCAAATTGAATCACTATACTTCTGTGTCTACAACAAAGTAAACCTTGGCCAAAATTACAGGCTGTAAAAAAATGAAGAAATATTTCTTTAAAAACATCAACGTCACTATCTCTTGTCGGCTTCATCATAACCAGCTGATCAGTGTAAACCCTAAGAGGCCAGGACAACTTTCAAGGTCGCTTCTCCATCTGAAGCAATCTTTGCAGACAGATGGAGGTCGGTTATGGCAGCGTGTGGTTACCATGGTTACCACATCATCTACAGCACACAGCCATTTCTCTAGCGGTCATTTTTACAGAGCGAACACCTCGTCAGGTCTGAGTGTTTCCCACAGTGTAAACTCATCCAGACCCCTCCACAGTTACTCAGCATGTCAACACTGATGTGGACAAAACTGTTTTATTTTTATTTTTCTCCAGGTGTTTGACAAATCTTAAGTCCAGGCTCACTTCTGGCTTTTTGTGGATGAAAGCTCTGGAAAAGCTAGTATGTGGACCTTGAGTTCAAATGTCTTTGTCAAACTACAGTTTTCAAGATCAAGAATGAACTTCATTAAAACACTGAAGAATTTTCTCAGCTTATAGAGAAGAAAATAATCCTTTTATTGATCTTCACTTTGACATTACCAGGGATTTAACTTCATAACATGTTACACACATGTAATGAAACATGTGTGAAGCTTTATCAAGCTGCTGCCCTGACTAATCTTGTGTGTCTATGAGAAAGTTGATGATTAAAATGTTACCATAACTGAGAAACTTTGACCTAACATACATAAACATGAAAAAACTAATATTCCTTTAATATTCTCATCTTTGCCAGCTGATCTGTGTAAAGCCTAAGAGGCCAGGACAACTTTCAAGGTTGCTTCTCCATCTTAATCAATCTTTGCAGACAGATGGGGGTCGGTTGTGGCGCCGTGTGGTTACCATGGCTACCACATTATCCAAAGTACAGAGCCATTTCTCTAGCAGTCAATTCCATAGAGCGAACACCTCGTCAGGTCTGACTGTTTCCCTGGCTTAACTGCTGCTGAGTGTTTCCCACAGTGTAAACCCATCTACACACCCCCACAGTTCCTCAGCATGACAACACTGATGTGGACAAAACCGTTTTCTTTTTCTCTCTCTCCGTTTGCTTTACAGTAAATATTTACTGCTCCTGCATGTGGATTTCTGTATGGAACAACACACAAAGTCAGCTGACGCCTGTCTGTCTGTATGTGAGGGTGTGTTTGTGTCTGTGTGAGTCTGCAAGCCATCAACAACACTTAGGATACTACCAAACACATGAAGCAAGAGGGCTTCAAGTGGACATGGTTCAGCCATCTTGGATCGGCCATACAGTATCGTCATAATAACGGTTTTGCATCCATTCATCTTTAAAACTGTAAGCTTTGTCACCAGGATGTATTCCCAGACATTCCTTTGCAGTAATCAATGATGAATGTAGGTATTTTCTGTTGTGTTTAAATGCTATATTTTTGTAGCATATATATATTATATACATATATATACCCTTTTGAAATGATAATGAAATTGTTCCGCATGTTGTCTTAGACACAATGGTATGATAATGATGAATCGAATCCAAACATTCACTCACAACCGCAGCTAATCACTTGGCTGGGTAAGTGAAGAAATGTGGGCTGATTTTAAGCTGTATTGACTGTTAACAGTGTTCCCATTTAGATTAACAGTACAAGCTAATTTATTTAGACCAGTGAGGCGTTTCCGGAAAAATGTATGGTGACAGATGTGAAAAGCACATAGAATGTATGAAACTGTTCTGGAGGACGGAAAGCTGGAAAGAAGATTAAATCCTAGATGGAAGTAGAGATAAACATACAGCAAAATGAATAGGAAACACTGGATGAGGCTCTGCCCTGTAATTTCAAACTAAAAATCCTATTATTATATTGAATCAAAGCTGAGGATGAGATGTTACTTTTGCTGACAAATTGTTAGCAAATATTATGTTCTCAACCTTTTTTAGCCTCTGAATGCATTTTTAGGTTCCACCTCCTCAGTAAACAGAATGGCTGATCCATCAACAGCAAAGCAACAAATATTTAGAGCAATTTTTAATGATCTACACAATTGCTGCTTCACGGTAAAAGCCTCACGGGATGTAAAACAAGAAGGCATCATTAGGGAACCTGTACTGTGAAGCAGCTGCAGGAATGCTACATATAAGTGTTAAGTAAGGCTACCTTATGTTTAAATAAATATTTTTACGTTTTTGTGTTTAGACGCCTTTGTATTAAACACAATTCCCAACACATGCAGCCATCACAATATACAGGTTTATTACATTTGTTGCATTTTCTCTGTGTCTCGCAGTCCTAGTGATAATTTTTGCTCATTTAGTGACATCAGGCTCAGGTATGACTCACCTTCTCTGCGTCCTGTTCAAAGAGGCGGAGCTGGAAACACTGGTCTAGCTTCAGTTTCCTGACGTGCCACATCTGATGGAGATGCTGCCTCGTGGAGTGCAGCTTATCCAGTAGACTGGCCACCTGGCAAATAGCATGATTTGCTAAGTGGTTAGATGATGTATCTTATAATGTCTTATCCATTTGGAGTTCAACTGGTTAGACAGACTTTGGGTATGATTGTCAAAAATAACCAGAGAAAAATGCAGCAGTTCATAGTCATAATTGAACATGTTCTGTATGTTTTGTGATATACTTCATGCCAATTTCCTGCTCAAGTCACTTTTTACTCATGCAGATGCATTTTTCTGTCAGTTCCCATCATCTAGAGCACCTATTGCTAATAAGTTTAGGCCTTGGCTAGCTGAAGAAAGACATCAGAGCGTGCACTTAATCATGCATTATGGTATAGTGTACTTTCAGTGTTCACAGGTTCTAATGACAGAACATGCAGAATTTTGTTAGGAGCATCACATACCACATCACTTACTGGTAGAAATGTGTTGGTACGGTTCACATTGTGTTTGGTATTTACTGCCAGATTTCCCAGTGAGAGTAAATCGTTTTTTGTTGTCAATATTCAAGCAGTCAAATGAGCTCTGTGTGTATGAAAATGTACGTGTGAATGTAAACTGTCCCTCAGATTATATATATATTTACAACCAAGAAGCCTTCATTTGTCTTTAGGTGATTTCTCCTTGGTCCTGTTTGAATGCCCTTTTCCCTGCTGTACCGTGGGTAAAATATGATTTAATATATTGATAAAGTTATGATATTAATATTGATCAGTCATATATATATTCCCAGCAAGTGTAAACTTCCCCTGGAATGGGTGACTTACCTTGGGCACCAAGCTCTGGAAGTCAGCAGAACCTGAGATGCAGTTCTTTCCTGAAAAACCATCACTGGATCGGATACACTGCAGCAACCTCTGGCCTTCCCGGTCCAACTCCTCCACTGGAGCCTTCAGCACCTACAGGAGTGGAGGAGAGGAGAGTATAAGAAAATATACATGATTCAAAGTTGTCTGTAATGATGAGAGAACTAACAAAAGTAGCTTCAGCCCAGCTTTTGGAAATGCAGCTAAATGTTTATTTCTTCAGATGTTTTTACAGTATCAGACTGTCCTGAGGGTAGTTTTTTCACCTTTTTCTTTAGTTGCGTGTGCTCCTCTATCAACCGACGAGATCCCTCCACGTCTGCAGGAAACTCCTTCTTGGACAGAAGCTCCTGCAACACACAGGAAAACTTTTTCATATTGGGATGAATTTTAATTCTCTTTAAGCTTCTATACATCTATCCTTTCATCCATCTTTCCCTTGACTGTCCATTCACTCATCTGCACATTTATCTGTCCGTCCCCCACCTGCAAGTCCTCCAGTTTAGACAACAGGTGAACAGCATTGGACATGAACTCCTCCAGAGAGACTCTCAGCTCCATCCACTCCTCGTGGTTGTAGTCCAGAGAGCCTTCAAAGTCGTCCGTCAGCTGGGAGGGATCCACCAGTTTGGCCAGACCTTCAACTGACACCATGCTAGTCTGGTACACACAAACAGAAATTTTGTTCCATTAACACCATGCAGGTCTGAAATACACAGTAATAAAATAAAAATAAGAAAGTATCAGTGTGTGGGTGTGTGTGTATGTATATGGTAAAATCTAAAAACTGGCAAGACATGGGACTCTTTAATGCTTAAGTAACTTAACCAGAATACTTGATTCTGTTGGCTAGAGCTTCCTATCTTTAAGATTACCGGGCTGCAATTTGCAGACATACTTTCAGAGTTGACAAGTGACCAAGTCACAAAATTCAGACTTATGAGTCAACTTGGAGTTGTCAATTATGATTCAGGAGCGAATCTGTTTCCAGGGTTTTATGACCTTTTGAAAGGGGTTTATGTTCTCAGCAATTTTTTTCACTAGGTGAAATATATATCTAGTTTTCTTGACTTTATACATTGATATTTCCACTGTGGCTGTGAAAGATTTTTATCATTCAACTCCAAACCCCGAAGTTAGCCCATAGTAATCTCTTAAAATATTAATTTATGTCAAGAGACATAAAGGGCTCATAGGACCCTGAGAACACAGGGATGAACGCTTAACGTTATGAATCTTGACTTTATGATACCTGCCTTAAAACTGAGCCAGTAATGATGCATTTTCAAAATATGGCATGGGAAGAAAGCAGTGAACTAACGTTAACGTTACTGGTATTCTGATTAGAGAAACTATTACTGATAAGAACAGTCTTAAATCATTTAAAATGTATCTTTGAAACAAACGGTTTCAGTTGCTAAACTAAGATGTTTGCTAACGTTAAGCCGAACCACCGTTTTAGCTAACGTTTTTAAACCCAAGCCTTAACTTAATATACATAAGCCAAATTGTTTCACCTGCAAAAGTGAACCCTGCTAGAGAGTTAATTAACTTAAGTGAACCCATAGCTAGCGTTAACCCGAACTAAAACCGTTTTACCCGTAAAACTGAACTGGGTTAATAGTAAACCTGAACAAAACAGCTTTAGCAAGCTTCTTAACATAATTAACTAACGTTAACATAATGTAAGTCAAAAAATAGCATTTCTCCTTGCTTGTTTTCTACAAGACAAGACAAATATAAAGATATTAATATGTATGAAATTAGAAATAATTTTTTAATTATTTATCAATATTTTTTGAAGAGATTTGTCTTTCAGGAAAAAAAGTTGCTAACGTTAACATTAGTTAATAACTGGGGCGAGACAACTAACAAGTTAACGTTATAACGCTGGCAGCTAAATTTAGTGACAATGTATGATTATGTTATACTTCTTTTATATTAGCACCTTTCACGGTACATAAAGTCTAATGTGAATGTGACGATAACGTTAGCCAGCTAGGTTGTGCAGTAAGTGAAACACATTCCCCGACGCCATAACAGACATAGCGTCCGTGGCTTTTAGCTTTATCGGTAGTGCGTCCACGCACTCGACGTCGCCTACGAGTCCGGACTGTGCAGCACAACCTCGGTACCGGTAACATGAACGTTATTGCTGTCCAAAAAAAAAAAAAAACAACAGAAGAGAGATGAGACACTCCAAGAAAACAAGAAAGCCCTCACACCTCAAAGGAGAACTTTGCACTGCCGAAGTTCGTCTTCTGTTTCTGCCAGAAGTTGTCCGGTTTGATGATGAGCGCGACACAGATTTCAGCAGGGAAAAACTCCTGAAGCGTCTTCAGCAGAGGCTTGATCAGTTCCCACTTAGAACCACGCATGTCGATGATGACAGTAAACCCACGTTTACATACATCCTCACTGATAGGAGACACAATCAACAGCAGTGATGTAGAAGATAACAGATAAACGGGGACAAATGGCAGAAAAGCTGTGCCTTGTCCTTTTACTGCTTGTACATTCTGAACTGATCTACAAGGAAGCAGTAGAGGTGGTGAGCTTGCAGGCAGCCATTGATATTTATTGTTCAATATATATAATATGCCCCATTTTTTTCCCCAATGGTGTCTGAGATTTTGTATGTCAGATTTTGGTAAATAAATAAGGGAAACAGGTTGTTTTCAAAGGGACATTTAGCAGTGAATGGCTTTTATCAATTTAACTCCTACACAAATCTCTGTTTATTCAGAAACTTGGCTTGTAAGTGAATAAGTGATAATACAGGTCAGTTAAAAACAAAGGTAAATGCAGAGCAATGTGCTAATGAGGTGCAGGTAATAAGAAAGAAAAACTACTGTACACTTTAAAGTAGCCCAATTGAGATGAAAATCATTTTGCTCAAAAGGAAGCATGTGGAATTATACAGTATTTTGTTGATTAAATTAAAGAAAACGATTATTCAATCAGAGCTACTTGAAACATTTTCATTTGGAACATGTAGAACTGGCAGTCAATTAGTGCAGTGTGAAGTTTCATCTGTGTCATTGTAAACAAATATTTCCTGGTGACCAGAAGCTGCCCTGAAACCAGCGAAGATCCAGCTGTGTATTCTGGAGTCAGTGGGCCTTAAGTTCAGCTGTTTGGAGAGTAAAAATATACTGAAATGACCTCAACTGCACACACATTCACATGCGGCCTCTATTAACAAAAGCACATCCATTATAATCTGCCTCAGGGAAGCACAAACTCCTCTCATCTCCATGGAAACAGCAGCTCGATTAGCAGGAGGAATCAGAGCGGGGCTGATAGGGATCAAATGATAATATAGATTTTGGGCTAGTTTGGCTCAATAACACAGTGTTCTAGGCAGCCAGGTAAATGTATTAACATGCACAACAGTCTCTGTATGCGGTTGCAAGCATAGACGAGAATGAAAACTCTCCCCGTTGTTGCATCCAAGGACACTCTGACATCTGATAATTTAGTCAGCTTCCTTTTTATTTCCAAATTCATATTCAGTGACTACTTTGGCTTTTTTGTTTTGATTTTCTCTTAAAACAGCATATCTATGAAATGCTTTTTAGCGGATGACTATCAATTCTTGATGTCAGAGCGCCCTTGAATGCATCACCAAGGGGTTTAACAATTGTTCCTGCTTGCAGCTGCATGGTACTATCATGATAATCTGTTTTTGATCCAAACATTTAACACATTAACATACTAATTCCAATTCATTCAAACAGAATCTGGTCCTACTTACTTTTCAAGATCCTATTTGAATATTCTCAATATAACATGCACGCAAACACACCTGCTGTGTTACCACAGAGATTGTTCTGTAGTAAGTTCTGGATGTATATTGTTTTGTTATTTAGCCAGAGCTCTTTTCTCTGCAGCAGGTATTTCTGCTGGCTGAGATGCCACAAAGTCAGTGCTACAGATGATCTGAGTATCATCATCACCATCATCATCATTAAAGGGTCTGCTGCTCCTATGCCCTTAACTTTGGTTTAAAAATACTTTTGTTGTTGTTATTTTGTTTGTTTTCCGAAGGGACATATATGGACAACCATGGACCACTCTCTTTGACTGTCCATATACGTCCCAGGTTATTGATCAGTTTTCTCTAGACCATCTTAATCCTTGTAACATCCTCAGCCTGTGATGAGGGGCAGCAGGAATAAATGGACTTTAAATTAGGTGTGACAGACCCGCTGCTGTCTGCTGCAAACACTGCAGCTTTCATGCTGATGCAAATCAAAAGCTGCTCTCAGTCTGCTGCTGTGATGGCAAAGAAAGGGGCGCTTGATTCCACAGTGTGGACAGCACTGAAGCACTCCACATGCACTTCACTCTCCACTCCTTCCTTCTAGTATCTGTAACAATGGAGTCTAGTTCAGTAAATGTCATTGTCCTGAAGCTTAATAAAAAGAAAATAAAGTTTACATTGACAAGAGATACTGCAAATGTGATTAAATCTCACCTAAAATAAAAAATACACATGCTACTTGTGTGTGTGTGTGTGTGTGTGCGTGCGTGTGCGTTTGTGTGTAATGGGAATGTGTGTACCTGGGAACAGTAGACAGGTAGGTTACCAGCCTCCTAAGGTCTTCCTGTTTTATTCGGTCGTGGTTACTCCTGGCCGGAAATGTTAGGATTGGTCCTCCTCTTTTATCTCGCCCACCTGTACATGCACACATATACATAATAAGCTTGATGTTACCACATCGGCAGTGTTCAAAAGGTATTCCTATTTTATCAACAAAAAACTTAAGCAACAAGGGATTCATCCTGCTAACAAGTATTGTCTCTGTAGCCAAAGCCTGATATAACTTATGGCTTCAGGCATAGAACTCCAGTGACATGAGGAAGCAGTGAAACATTTGATCACATATTACTTCTATACAATGAATTTAGTAATAGCAGTTGCTGCAGTAGTACAGTAGTAGCAGTGGTAGCAGTGCCGGTAGTGGTAGCTGTAGTAGAAGTAGTATTAGTGGTAGCAGTGTCTGTTTTAACTGCAGCAGCAGTAGTAGTAGTTGCAATAGCAATAGCGGTAGTTGTAGTAGTACCAGTAATACCAATTAGTGGCAATAATAGTATTAATTTCAGGGAGCAGCAGAATAACAGTAGTAGTAGTAGTAGTAGTGGTAGTAGTAGTACTAGCAGTGGTACCAGCAGAAGTAATAGTAAAAGCAGCAGTACTAGTGCTTGTAGTGGATATGGCATGTTAGCAGCAGTAGATTTTAGTTGTATTATTGGTATAGCATTGTCATAAGAAATTATATAAGAATATATTTTTAAATGTTAATGAAACAACTCAAGCATTAGCCTAAACCAAAATAGATAATATGTACATGCAAACAATAAGCAAAATACAGATCACAAAATCAATGAACTGACCACTGTAGAACTATAATTACAGACCAGACATTACTCTACACTATAACCACTATCACTCCATTATCACCAAGTAGACCACATCAGTAATAATCTGCACATTACTTTACACTAATGGCTTTAATATCTCTGTATCCGTAACATAACTCCCATCACAGCTACATGAGATGGTAAACACACTTTCCACAGGTTCTGAAAACCCATCCGAAATACAAACTCTCTCTCTCTCTCCCTCACTGTGATAAATTATGTGTGTAGCGATGTTTTGGTTAGATTAATGTAAGAAACACAAACCACAGTGTTTATAAAACTGCTACTCAGACTTGGAAAATCGGTTAGTGTGTGTGTGATTTGGGAGGGAGTACGCTGCTGTAATCTAAGGAGGAATCTTGATGACAGATTGTTGTTGGCACTCTTTTACATGCTCTCTCTCTCTCTCTCTGACTTTCTTTCTCTATGTCTCTCTCCGACTCTCTCTTTCTAATTCAGACTCATTTTTTCACTGGTACACATTACTACAACAAGGAAAGTCAGTACTTGACCAGTACTGGCCAGAAAACCAGAACTAGAACTCATACAATCTTAAAAAAACAGCACATAGCCAGCAGATTAAATCAAATGTTTTTAAAATTTTCTAGGACTGCAAAGTTTTTTTCATTACTCTCTGGATTAATCAATTGGTGTTGTCAATTGTTTGGTCTACAAAATATCAAAGATAAAGAAGCATGCCTGTTTCAAAGAACAAGTTGATGTCTTAACTCTCCAAAACCCCAAAATGATCAATTTACTATGACATTAGACAAACAAAGGCAGCAAACCTTTACAATTAACAAGAAAATGTTTGTTTTTTATTCTTGACAACTACTGATTAATTCATTATTAAATTAGCTGATTCATTTTCTGCTGATTAACTAATAGAATAATTTACTAATCGTTTCAGCTGCAATTTTTTACATAGCTTTCAAAATAGCAAATCTTCACAGTGCAACTTTATTACCACATAATATGGGTCTTCATGGGTTAACTCGGTTCTTTGTAACCAGACAAGACCAGATCCTAGACCTGAGGGACTCGGGTCCGATTTGCATACATTCCAATCAGGTCTGACTCCTGTGGTATTGTTAGAGGCCTTGGGTCTGTGTGTCAATATATGTAATACCTGAGGGGATCCATGCTGACTTCTTATCGGCTTTGATCATATGGTGCCTCCTGATCATCAACGTGAGTCGCTGTTCAGGTAGACTGCATTTTTGGATTTATTTATTTATCTATTTCGGACCATTCTGACTGTCGTCGTGTCCCTTTTAGATCAGGGCTGTTTTTAATAAGTAATTTAAGCACATAAGATTCATGTAGGTTTTGTTCTAGGTCTGTTTCAGATCCAGTCCATCTCATGAAGACCTGAAATTAAATAAATTCATAGCAGCTGTTGTAGAGAGAGAATGTTTTATATTAATATTATCAATACCTTTGGTTGGTCAGTTTAGGAGGTCATGTGATGTTACATCTTGTTTGTACCACAGACTGTATAGAAGAAGTGGACGTAGTCTTTGTGACGTCACCTGTTGGTTTGTGGACAGCCGTTTTGAAGCTTTGAGTTTGGCCAATAGGGCGCCGCCATGTTGAGTTTTTGAAACCAGCGGCACCGGACGTGACCATATTCGGACGAGACGATGGAGCTTGTAAGTGCCAGATCGGTACCGCCAGCAAGATCCGTTCTTCACATGTGCAAAATCTGTTCTGTCAGTCAAAGAAGGTTACCGCAAATCTGCCTATTCAAAATGATCCAACTAAATCTTTCATATCAACATAACAATGTTTTTTAATCACTGGAGATTTAACTGTTCACTATGATGTAATATGACTATACTTTAGATATTAAAAACCTTATTCAACAGTACATTTTTAATTTTTAATAATGACAGCAATCTCACAATGTGAGCAACACAAAGGGGGCTAACCCTAGAGCTGTGCACATCGGCCATCATCATACAATCGCTGACTTAGGTTTAGGCACACACCCTGATGGTTAGGGTTAAGGTAAGATGCTTTGGGAAGCTGTCAACGCATTTTATACTAACGTAGCTACTAGCGCTTCCGGTCCGGAACCCGGAGGCGTCTCATACGGACACCGAAGGGTACCTTTTGCATCAAATAGTATTTGATGCACTGAGATGAGAACAGACAACAACACACGAATAATTATGAACAGGCACATTTGCGATAACCTTCTTTGACAGACAGGACACCTTTTGCGCATGTGAAGAACGGATCTTGCTGGCGGTACGGATATGGCACTGACAGAGCTAACGTCCATGTGTGGAGCTAGCTAGCTTGCTTAGCTAGGTGCATCTGTAATTCACATTAACTGTCATTTTAACAGGGATGATAATATTATCTAGCGAACAGTCTTAAAACTAAATGTACTCACCAGAGAAAGTGAATTAGTAAGTAATTGGTAACTGTTTTTTTTTTAACAATAAAGTTGCACTGAACTGAACTGAACAGCCAACTTAAACACTTTATCAACGGCGCTTGTTAAATTTACACATTGCCGTGGGTACAAGTCACTCTCTTGACAGGTTGCCCTGGTAACGACTTGTCAATCATAGATAATGCCGCCCTGAAGCATACTCTGCTTTATGGTCTATGGTCTTTCGTCTAAATGGGACCTAAATGAAAATCATGTTGTATTGAAGAAGACATGAAACTAGGGATTGAGACCATGAACCCATTAGGAAAGTGTTTACTGAGGTAATAAATCAGCTGAGAGGTAGGGTCATTTTACCATCATTTCTCATGGAACCTGACTTCTTTTTGCAACCAGAAGAGTCGCCCCCTGCTGGCCGTTCAATAGAATACAGGTTTAAGGGACTTCGCTTTGGCTTCGCGTCTCAGACCAGGAGCTTCCTGCTTGGTTTGTACAGAGTCCAAATGTATCACATGGCTGAATGTTTGTGAGTGTGATGGCCTGTGGAGTGAAAAAGTTCATGTGTCTGCTTTCTTTGCTTGTTTTGGCACACAGTGATCTGCAGCGCCTGCCAGTGGGGAGAAGTTCACATAAGTCATGTTCAGGGTGTGAAGGGCCTGTGATGGTTTTTCCTGCCCGTTTCCTGTCTCGGGAGGTGTCAAGTCCTGGTCCACACCGATGATCTTTTCTGCAGTCCTGAAGATTTCCATGGTCGACACAGTGTTATTGAGTATGCTTAGTGGGATCACTGTGGGGGGCTCCTCCAGGCCACTGTCCACTGTCATATTCATAGTTTTGAGTGTGTTCAGCTTTAAGTTGTGAATACAAAAGAGGGCCAGCTGGTATGCATACTTGTCACTATCTTGGATGAGGTGGTGGACCTTGAGAGGTTTTGATCAGAGGAGGTCCCCAGACCAGTGGGGACAGCACTGACAAGTTTAGAGATCTGGGACCATATTCGCAAAACATCCCACGGCTAAAAGTAGCTCCTATTCATAATACTGTAACTCGCCATGACTTCATTCACAGTTCTTTTCTTTTATTGGTTTTTCGATGCCAAACATAGCAAACACAACCAGCTAATGACGACAGTCTGCCGCTATGTTTGTTTTTTCTGAAGTCACATTTGATCGCATATACTTCTGTGCGATCAAATGTGACCCTGGAGTTGCCACTTGGAAATCGCTTAGTGAACGCCAAGTTTGTGGTCCTGCATCTTGACTCAATCGTCTGGTGTGTGCGTTTAAAAATTTATTAAATCTGTAGTTATGTCTGATGTCTCCCACATTTTTAAAATCAGTTAGTGTTTGAAAATTCTTCTGGTGTGTACCAAGCATAAGAGAAATTTATGAAGCATTTTACTTCCAAAAATAGGTCCTAAGTCTGAGAGAGAGTAGAGGCAGGAAGGAAGAAATCCTTAAGACTTAATCACAGTGAGCTGCGGTGGGTTATGCGCTTTGTTATGTCAGTATTTTGGAATAAGACAACAATAACATTTCAAAGTATATTTTGATGGCAGTGAGTTAGTAAAGATCGTCTCACAACAAGTCAAAACCATCCAGTTACACCAGAGAGGATGGTTTGCACCACTCTGCACTACTGTGACTCAGAATCAGAACTGCCCTTTGAAAGTATGCCGATTTGTTCGGTTAAAGGGGAAAAGAAAATTACATTGGCATATACAATATTTTACAAATGAAAATTCCTTTAATATTTTAAATTATATCTACCAATCTATCGATTTATCTAATTCAATGTGTTTTGATCCTGTGTATTAATGAATACACCGACACAGATCAGTTAAACTGTTATTGCTCAACCAATCACTGTAGACACAGCGAGTAGCCCCTCCTCTCACAGCGAGGGAGTTCTCTCAGTTCTTTACAAAAGTTGCTCTAAGCAACTTTGTGAAAAGCTCTTAAGAGGAAACTCTGTGTTATGAACTTGTACCACAATTTAGGAGGACTCCTAGTGCTAAGATAAGATCCTTTGTGTATAATACAGCCCCTGGAGTTCTGCCCCACTTTCAGATGTAAATTGATATAGGTTTCTTCTGTCAGACATTCTTGTGATTCACTTGTGACCAGTAACTCGGACATAACGTCGGTGACTCAGACATGAATTCACTCTCACTTTGATGTGACCCCAGTGACTTGGATGTGATCTCAAACGACTCTAGCATATACTGTATGAGCTTGGATTCCTGCTGATTTAACTACAACACTGACTTGAACTCACCTGACACAAAGGCAACTTTCTCCTTTAACACGGGAAGAACATCAGACGCCTTGACGCCTTCAGTCCTGAATGACCCTGGGGAGAGACATAGAGAGAGAAGCACTCAGTCAGCGGGGCTTTAAGTATTAATCCAATTATCAGATCAACATTCCTGTGAGAAAGAACACACCCCCATACACAGATATCCAGCCTTTATGAAGGTTTTTGTCTTAAACATGCTGTAACAACGTTATTATTATTATTTCAGTGGAAGTATTAGCAGTAGAAGCAGCAGTAGCAGAAGTATTTTTTTCAGTCATTCTACAGCATAATGTGTGTACAGTATGTGGTGAAACAAGAATACACTGAGTTCATCTTCGGTCCTCTATCCTTTGTAATCTCTTAATATCTTTCTGATTTGATTTCTTGTTCTCTCTCTTCCCCTCTCAGTTCATCTGGTCACCCGTCTGTCATGTTATGAAATCTCTCTCTCGCTTTTCTCTCTTGTTTTTATTAATGCTCTCTCTACCTCCTCATCTCCCTCTCTCTGTCTCAGTAGAAAACAAGCCCAAATGTCCATGTCCTGCTGTGTGTATGTGCATGTCCTGGCTGCAAAACACACACATACACACACACACACACACACACACACACATTCCAAGAACATTCCACAGTGAGAACGCTAAGTTGGCAAAATCACTGAGGACACAGACAACAGAGAGAAAAGTAGAGAGACACCAGATCCGACTGACTCCATTTTAAAAGTAATTCCTATGTTTAAAAAAAAAAAAGCACTGACATCAACTCAAATCTGTTTTATATTCATGAAAAAAAGTGAGGCGGAGGAGTCCATTTTAATGTTCAAACCTGTCGTTTTTAGTTTGGAAACATGCAAGAGAATTTTACGATATTTGGCCAAACACATCCCAGGTGATTTGATCCTGTGTGAACAGTTTTCAACCAACGTGTGAATGATGTACTGGGATCAGATCGCTCAGCCATATTCAGTGGTCGTTTGTGACACTTGTGATAAATCAGAGCTGTCCACAATTCAGCATCTGAGCAATTAGCCACAGCAATTGATGTTGTTCAAGGTTAATGATCTAATTGATCCATTTTATGCTGGCTCATGTAACTTTAGTGTGGTTTACAGAAAAGGTATTGATTTAAACCTGATGGAGTGGTTTAACCTATTGATGCTTGCATGTTGCTCCTCAAATGTAAGCTGCTTAGGATAAAAGCCTCTGCCATATGAGTAAATATAAATGTACAGTACACAGATGAATTGTATGCAGGTGGAGGTGCCTCTACTGTCTCTAAAGGAGCAGTTTTTGCTCCTTAATCACAAATTACGTTGTGTATATTTATGTATCCCAGTTTCAAACACATGCTGTGTAGTTTAATGTTTCTGAAAGTTCAATACTGAAATCCATTTTTATAGTCAAAAATAATGTCAATGTGTGTTTTTTTTTAAATGTATCGTTATATTGTTTCATATTATTAAGGACGAAAAATGGTCTTTGGGTAAATATAATAATTTCTCCTTTTCCTCTCAGCCAGGTTGAGGGGTCAGTATCTGTGTTTGATTGACAACAACTGGCAGGCTGCCCGTAGGGAACATAGTGTATATACAATATACTTTGGTAGCTACATGTCTTGGCCAGATATCGTGCTGTTAGTGGTATAAGGAGTAAGCACCACCAGCATCTAACAGAAGTGACATTTGCAGCTACATTTACATGCTGTTCAATGTGCTGCTGCAGCTGAGAAGCCAATTAGCCATCTAGCCTGCAAAGTGACTTTAGTACTTTTCTCGGGTAAATGTTTGTTACGTTGCTCGTTCAACAAGCTAAGGTGCAGGACAACATGTGTGTTCAAAGTCTGTAGCTCTTGCGGTGAATAGCAGCCTGCTATCTGGCTGTGTGTCTGTTTGTGTGTCAATTTGACCGTCTGATCCGCCGATGACAGAACGCTGACTTTATGCACAGATCTGATTGGCTGTATTGAAATAATGTATCCATCTACATAGATGAATAACGGAGAAGGCATTCTGTCGAAATAATGCACAACCAGGTGGTGCCATCATGAAACCAAAATCCATTTTGGTTTCTTATTTTTTTTGTGAAGCAGAACACAGTGATTTACAGAGCGGGTATGTAAGGTGTAGCAGCCCAAAACATTTCTTTTCATTTGGACTTTAAGCTGTATTTGTTCATCAGTTATCAATTTTGAATTTACGCTGAACAAAATAATAAATGCAACACTTTTGTTTTTGCCCCCACTCATCCTGAGCTGAACTCAAAGATGTAAGACTTTCTCTATGTACACAAAAGGCCTATTTCTCTCAAATATGGTTCACAAATCTGTTAAAATCTGTGTTAGTGAGAACTTGGTGTGGCATATCAAGATGCTGATCAGACAGCAGGTGTGCCTTAGGCTGGCCACAATAAAGGGCCACTCGAAAATGTGGGAATATTTCCTGAATACATCCTCAGACTTCCATTTCTCTCTACTGGACCTACTGCACATCGACTCCTACTACTACTACTGTACATGCTTGTACCATTCCATTTATATTCCCCTTAGTGAAGGCACAATAAAGTTTAAAACTGAATCTAAATGTCATGTAGTATAACATGCACATAGACTACGAGCTGTTATGTTGACATTTTAAACCCCATTTAAAAATCATACTGTTCTCTGCGCTTGTGTTTCTGATCTTCTGTGTTTTATATTGGGCTGAAACCATATTCCTGAAGCATGGAGTCAGGACAAGTGATGCGTCTTGCAGTTATTTGCGTTTTTATTGGTTTCCTACAACAACATTTCAAACCACCAATTAACATTAATAAATGCAAGATATTTAAAAAGCAGTCAACTACATATGTAGTATGAGCAGGATCACCTAGTGATCACTTTGTACTAATATGACAAACATCCCCAACACTGATGCAGATATTTGCATGACAAACAACTCAGATACACAAGTAAGGTACCAGCATTCCTCTACATAACCGAGTATTTGAACATAAAGCCAGTCAAATTCGTAAATGCAACTTTTTCTCTCCATTGTAGCCCTCCGTCCAGACTAAAACAGCGTAAATCCTCCCCACTAAACGGAGCTTTACCAAAGCAGCCCCCAGAGTATGAATCTTAAAATGCCGATTTGGTGTTTCAGTGTGGTAAACTGATCCCTTGAAAAACAATAATGTAAGCTGCCCTGTGAGGGTCGGGGGCTGTGTGGCAGTAAAGTTAAGAAGACAACCTTTAATCGCCTCCAACTTTCTCTGTGATTGATCATTTTAAATGCTTTTATAGCCGAATACACAGCAGAGCTGTTGTCATTACTCTTGGTTTCATGTTGATTTTGTCAGATGATGTCGGTATTATAAAATAATGATTATATTCACTGCAGTGCAGCAGCTTGGGAATTACTGCTGGCTAACAGTTAGTATTTATGGGCTGTGATAAAATAACTATTTCATACTTGTTCAGTTGTCTGACAATAGAAAGAGAAAAATGTGTAAATGAGAACAACTATATCAAGAATTCTGCTGCATCAAAACACAGTATAGGCCTCGGTGACCACAGATGAGGAGAACATTAATCAGAGGTTTAACAGGCTGACACTCAGCAGAGTCACCGGCTGTAGCCTACACTAACAATGGGCTGTGTGGCAGCAAAGTTTTCATCTGAAACTTTTTGTGTGACTGATCATTTTAAATGTCAACTGCCGAATGCACAGCTGATCCACCTGCATTTAACCTGTCCAATCAGTATCAGATTCGGCTGTAAAGCAGTTTTGTTGTTTGCCAACTGAAAAGAGGGCAAAGAAGAAAGGATTTAGCTGTTTTTATGTTGTTCAGTTGTTTTACTGTGAACAGAGGTCCCTACAAAAATGACTAGGAAACTAATGTAGAAGGTTTTTTCACAAAATCTCAAAATTTAGAAGGCTTAATGTAGACACAGACTGACAGACAAAATAATTATTTATAGCAGTACCATTATCCCGAAATTTTAATCAAATCACATGACAGTTGTCAAGTGTCAAAAGGGAGATGACCCAACTGGTCTTACACACAATATGGATAGATTCTAGACAGCATCGGGTACAAAGCTTAAATACTAAACCTGCACACACATGTTCTGCACCTACACTAGCCTCCCATTTCAGCACAGTGTCAGCTAAACACAGCGTCATAGTAAAAATTAATTCAGTGTCATCTGACTGTTCACTTTGGCTGATAATGTAAATTAATGGATCTAAAAAAGACACAAGAAGCTGCTTCAGCTAGTTTGTGGTTTCTTTCTAACGGACTATTTCACAATGTTGCTCCATGATGGAGACACAGTTGGGTGGCTGGAGACGGAAGCAGAATCCAGCCCAGAACAGATGAGTCTGTATTTGTTCATTCATATTAAAAATGTAATGATTTGCATATAAAAACAGTTTGTGTTCCAGGAAATGAAGGAAATAATAGAGGGAGGAGAGTGTGCCAACAGTCTTCAACAGCATAATACATTCTCCAGAGGAAGTGTGTGTGTGTGTGTGTGTGTGTGTGTGTGTGTGTGTGTGTGCCGGTGAGTGAGTGAAACTCATTCGTCCATCACTGTTGAGAGGAAACAGCTTTTGTCATTTCAACACACACAGGAAGCTGTCAGTCTTGTCTCTGTACAGACACACATACATATAGCAGTGACCGACTTAAATCTCGTGCTTTACAGGAAAGCGACGGTGGGTCAGAGTCAGGTTTGGCTGTGGTTCTGTGGTTTCTCACCAAAAGGAGGTTTTGTTCCTGTATGGAACCGTAAGGACACACAGAAAACTCAGATGTATGTAAAGTACCTGGTGAAGCTTCGTGGAAGGCCATGATGAAAGTCGCACCTCCTGACTTGCTACTGTGCTTCACCATTTTTCAGGGTCAGATTTTCAGTTAACAGGTGTAACTAATTGTGATTTGATCGAGAAGGTGATGATGTTCAGTTTTAGTTAAAAAAACCAGAGTTGCTGTGTGGTACAGTAGAGGTGTGTCAAATATTGAGTCCACCCCCTTTATATCAATAAGGGCAGGCATGCTATCTAATTTATCATATTT